CATACAATATTTGTCTTTCTCTCTCTGACTTATATCACTTAGCATAATGCCCATAATGCCCTCAATGTTGTCACAACGGGCAGGGTTTCCCTCTTTTTTTTTTTTGTGACTGAATAATATTCCAGTGTGTGTGTGCGTGTGTGCGTGTGTGTGTGTGCGTGTGTGTGTCTGTGTCTGTGTGTGTACACACACCCATGTGTATATGCCATATTTTCTTTATCTGTTCATCCATCAATGGTCACTTAGGTTGCTTCCATGTCTTGACTATTGTAAATAATGCTGCAATGAACATGGGGGTGCCTATGTCCTTTGAACATATACTGAGAAGTGGAATTGCTAGATCGATCATATGGTAGTTTAATTTTTTTTTTGCATTTTTTAAGTTTATTTATTTATTTTTAAATTAATTTATTTTTTAATTTACACCCAAGTTAGTTAGCATGATTTCAGGAGTAAATTCCTTAATGTCCCTTACCTATTTAGCCCATCCCCCCTCCCAAAACCCCTCTAGCAACCCTCTGTTTGTTTTCTATATTTAAGAGTCTGTTAGGTTTGGTCCCCCTCTCTGTTTTTATATTAATTTTACTTCCATTATGTTTATTGTTTTGAACGTTTTGTATCTTAAAGTCCTCATATGAGTGAAGTCATATATTTGTCTTTCTCTGACTGACTAATTTCACTTAGCATAATACCCTCCAGTCTGTCCAAATAGTTGCAAATGGCTTTTTGATTGCTGAATAATACTCCACTGTACATATATACCACATCTTCTTTATCCATTCATCCATTGATGGACATTTGGGCTCTTTCCATACTTTGGCTATTGTCGATAGTGCTGCTATAAACATTGGGGTGCATGTGCCCCTTCGAAACAGCACACCTGTATCTCTTGAATAAATACCTAGTACTGAAATTGCAAGGTTGTAGGGTAGTTCTATTTTTAATTTTTTGAGGAACCTCTATACTGTTTTCCAGAGTGGTGGCACCAGTTTGCATTCCTACCAGCCCTAACACCATTTATGAAACTAAGGCAGACTAAACTGTTAACTTCCTAGTAAGATAAAATCACAGATCCACCAGCAGTGCAAAAGACATCTTCTTTCTCCTCATCCTCGCCAACATCTGTTGTTGCCTTAGTTGTTAATGTTAGCCATTCTGACAGGTGTGAGGTGTTATCTCACTGTGGTTTTGATTTGTATTTCCCTGATGATGAGTGATGTTGAGCATTTTTTCATGTGTCAGTTGGCCATCTGGATGTCTTCTTTGGAGAAGTGTCTATTCATGTCTTTTGCCCATTTCTTTGCTGGATTATTTGTTTTTTGGGTGTTGAGTTTGATGAGTTCTTTATAGATTTTGGATACAAACCCTTTATCTGATATGTCATTTGCAAATATCTTCTCCCATCTCATTGATTGCCTTTTAGTTCTGCTGATTGTTTCCTTTGCTGTGCACAAGCGTTTTATTTTATTGAGGTCCCAGTAGTTGATTTTTGCTTTTGTTTCCCTTGCCTCCGGAGACCTGTTGAGTAAGAAGTTGCTGCAGCCAAGATCAAAAAGGTTTTTGCCTGCTTTCTCCTCGAGGATTTTGATGGCTTCCTGTCTTAGATTTAGGTCTTATTTTGAGTTTATTTTTGTGTATGGTGAAGAAAGTGGTCCAGGTTCATTCTTCTGCATGTCGCTGTCCAGTTATCCCAGCACCACTTGCTCAAGAGACTGTCTTTATTCCATTGGCTATTCTTTTCTGCTTTGTCAGAGATTAGTTGGCCATATGTTTGTGGGTCCATTTCTGGGTTCTCTATTCTGTTCCACTGATCTGAGTGTCTGTTCTTGTGCCAGTACCATACTGTCTTGATGATTACAGCTTTATAATACAGTTAGAGGTGTGGGATTGTGATGCCTCCTGCTTTGGTTTTCTTTTTCAAGATTGCTTTGGCTATTCAGGGTCTTTTCTGGTTCCATACAAATTTTAGGATTATTTGTTCTAGCTTTGTGAAGAATGCTGGTGTTTTTTTGATAGGGGTTACAGTGGTAGTTCTATTTTCAATTTTTTGAAGAATCTTCATACCATTTTTCATAGTGGCTGCACCAATTTATTTTCCCACCAACAGTGCATGAGGGTTTGCTTTTCTCCACATCTTTGCTGACACTTGTTACCACTTGTCTTTTGATACTGATAGGTGTGAGGTGATACCTCACTGTGGTTTTAATTTTCTTTTTCCTGATGGTAAGTGATGTCAAGCATTTTTCCATGTACCTGTTGGCTATTTGTATGTCTTCTTTGGAAAAATGTTATTTGGATCCTCTGGCCATTTGTTAATTGGATTGTTCGGGTTTTGTTGTTCTTGTTGTTGCTGCTGCTGTTTTTGCTGTTTATTTATAGGAGTTCTTTGTATACTTTGGATGTTAACCTCTTATCAGATATATGACTTGCAAATATTTTATCCCATTCAGCAAGTTGCCTTTCCATTTTGTTGATGGTTTCCTTTGCTGTATAGAAGCTTTTTGGTTTGTTATAGACTCACTTGTTTACTTTTGCTCTTGTTTCTTTTGCTTCTGGTGTCAAATCAAAAAAATAATCACCAAGACTGATGTCAAGAGGCTTACTGCTCCATGTTTTCTTCTAGAAATTTCAGGGTTTCAGGTATTAGATTCATGTCTTTAATCCAATATGACTTGATTTTCTGTATGTTTCATTCTTTTGCACGTTGCTGTCCAGTTTTCCCAGTACCATTTATTCAAGAGACGGTCCTTTCCACATTGTATATTATTGCTTTCTTTGTCATAAATTAGTTGACCGTATATGATGGGTTTATTTCTGGGCTCTGTATTCTGTTGATTTATGTGTCTGTTTCTATGCCACTAACATACTGTTTTGATTACTATAGCTTTGCAATATAGTTTGAAATTAGGAAGCATGATGCCTCCAGCTTTGTTCTTCTTTCTTAAGCTTGCTTGGGTACATGGGGGTCTTTTATGGCTCCATACAAGTTAGAGGATTGTTTTTCTATTTCTTTGAAAAATGCCACTGGAATTTTGATAGGAATTGCACTGAATCTATAGATGGATTTGGGTAGTATGGACATTTTAACAATATTAACTCTTCCCGTCCATGAACACAGACTATCTTTCTACTTATTTGTGAGGACCACTTTACACTAAAACTTCCACATAGTTGTGAACAAGTTCTTTTTGATAAAATGTTAACAGAGTGATTGTTTTAGGTCATAATCAGGAAAAATCAAGTATTTCTGTATGCCTACTCTGTCGGTGTCCTCTGAAAACATAGCTCTGGGGAGGAAGTCTAGAGTATTTTCAATTATAGATTTAATGAAGTTATGTATTGAATGTAACTTTTACTTTGGAGAGCATATTATTTCTGTTTCTTGTTGCTGTTGCACAAATCTGAAGAGACTTTAAGGACCCCATTTTCATATTTTATTTTTATTTTTAAGTTTATTTATTTTGAGAGAGACAGAGACCGCATGAGTGGGGAGGGTCAGACAGTGAGGGGGAGAGAGAGAGAGAGAGAGAATGAGAATCTCAAGTAGGCTCCATGCTGTCAGCGTAGAACCCGACGTGGGGCTTGAACTCATGAAACTGTGAGATCATGACCTGAGACGAAACTGAGAGTCAGACACTTAACTGAGTGAGCCACCCAGACACCCTTCATATTTGATTTCTAAAACAAAACTAACAAACAAGGGGGAAAACTCTGTGAGGTAGGCAAGGGACCTATTAGATGGGATAGATAGGATTACATGGAGCATGTAGCAAGGGGAAGGAGATGTTTAAAGAAAAGTATAGGTCAAATTAAAACAGGATGCATGTTAATATCTGTGAATAAAATATTTCATTAGTTGAAATACAATAATATTTGATATTTTAAATGAAGTAATATTTTTGTCAATTAAAAGTAGTCTAGTAGGGGTTCCTGGGTGGCTCATTCTGGTGGTCTGACTCTTGATTTCTGCTCTGCTCATGATCTCACGTTCAGTGAGATCGAACCCCGCTTCTCGCTCTGTGCTGACAGCATGGAGCTGGCTTGGGATTCTCTCTCTTCCTCCCTCTCTCTGCCCCTCCTTTGCTCGTGGGTGCACAATGCACTCCCTTCTCTCTCTGTCTCTCTCTCTCAAAATAAATAAACTTAAAAAAAAATAGTCTAGTAAAGCATATACTTAGGCTCATATTTGAAGAGTCAAATACATTTTTTTTTCTCTTCAAGTAACTGTCACTCTTTTACAATGTACTGATAAACCCATACCACCGCTATTTCTGGTCACATCTTAGGCAGTACAATATAATGGGTAAGAGCTGGGTTCTGGGCTCCATTGGTCTGGGATAGAACCATGATTCCACCCTTTATTGGCTGTGTGTCCTTGGGCACTTTACTTACCTGTGTACATCTTAGTTTTCTTATTTATACTTACTTCCTTTTTGTACTTATAAGTATTTACTATGATGCTTAGCACATAGAATAAATGTTAGTAATTATTTCAGATTCAGCATTTAATACCTTATTTTCAGATTACTATTGTCATATCAGAAATACATTGTTTTTCTTTCAGTGACGTGATTTTTAAGATGTTCTGCATTCTTGGATGTAATTTTAAAAAATCTTGGTATCAAAATTGTTTTCAGAGGAACACCTCATTAATTATATCATTAAGGAGTGGGAAAATAACAGCTGAACAAAGTTGTGTCGTAGGATCCCCTTCTCAGGAATGCAGTTATATGCCTGTCAAGGAATACCTTGAGAAAAAGAATACCTTTGGGAAAAAATTATAGCTATTGTATTTCAAAAGATTCACCTATCCAACAAATATTTCTGGAGTGCCGTTGGCACACCAGCACTGTTCTTGGTTTGCAGATACCTTGGAGAATAGAATTTCTGCTCCCGTTGTGCTTAACTTCAGGGGATGTAAGGAGCAGGTAGGGCTTAAAACACATGAATTTTTTAGTGACGTTATAAAAATATTAATGCAAATTATGTTGTCTTCACAGTCAGATATAATTACCTGTGCTCAAGAAGTAGAAATGATGATAAAGCAGTTAGGAGCCCAACTGGAACAATTAAAAATGACTGTAAAATCAAAGACTGCTGTCCCAACATCACAAGTCTTTGTAAGTATTTGCCATCAACTTTGACCTTGCTTAAGAGTGAATATACCTTTGAGTCCTATACAATCGAATCATAAGTAATCATAATTATAGTTAATCACTAAAAATATGATACTGGTTTTTGTACAAGTTGATCCTGTTCTTTATGGTTGTTTTGTAATAACCGTGTAAGTTGGATGCGGGACTTCCCTCTGCAGACAGTTGCTACTAAAGGAAATGCAGGTATATATTATGGTAGCCATAATACCAGCACGGGCTGTGGCAACAAAACGAATCTGTAATGCAGTGTTGAGAACACGTTCACAGTGGCTGGTTAGAGATTGCCTTCAGCCAAGGGGTGATGTGACTTGTGTCCTTTATGAAGAGACAGAGGATAATCCCTGTGTTTACCAGGCCTGCACTTACACTGACTTTCTGATTATCTGTACCATCTTAGGGGCAAATCTGGTAGCCCAAAGGAGGTGTAGGGTGCACATGCAGTATTTTATAGAGCATTTTGAGGCCTTGACAATTTTGTGTAACCATTCCCAATGTTAGGTTTTAAAAGCCAAGAAACAAAAGGCTAAGTTGTTTTACTTTTTAGTAGGGCCTAATTAGTTTCTGTATATGTTTATTCAATAAGTCAGTGACCTTTAGTATGAATAAAAAACGTTTTATCTCATGGCACCTGGGTGGCTCAGTAGGTTAGATTATCCAACTCTTGATTTCTGCTCAGGCCATGATCTCATGGTTCATGGGTTTGAGCCCCGTGTCGGGCTCTGTGCTGACAATGCGGAGCCTGCTTGGGATTCTCTCTCTCTCCCTCTCTCTCTGCCCCTCCCCCAATCTCCCTCCCTCCCTCTCTCTCTCTCTCTCTCTCTCAGCCTCTCCCCAAAATAAATAATATAAACATTAAAAAAAAGTTTTTATCTCACTAATCTAAAATCTTTAACTTGCAGCTCACAAGATATGCCTCAAGATATATCTGTAGACTTTCAGGTTCTTTTAATCATGATTGAACCAGATAAATCTAATAGTAATGAGTCATATTTAGCTTTTTTACAAAAAGAAGATATTTTCCTCTTGGCTTTTTGGGGTCAAGCATCCATAAATCTTTCTTAGGTGATCAATGTGTTTGGCTTTTTGGGGGGGTGGTAAATTAACTTTATGACAATCACACCAACATGAATAGTTTGAAATAAAATACAAGTTTTTTTCTCATAATTTATGAATCCTATTGCTATGTAGATTTTATTGTTTAACTTCACAAGACTTTGACTTGTCTTCAGGAAGAATTTCTTTACTAACACAAATTTGTTTTTGTTTTTAAGAGCACAGTGATTTGTAATTTTATTAAACAGTTACATTTTAAACATTCTTTTCTTCAGCCCATCTTCATTGCACTTTCCAATCTGTGGACTAGCTTCCAGGATGAAACTGTTTTGATTAGTGTCCTCAGTAATTTGACAACTCACCTTGAGCCATTCTTGGGTGCTCATGAACTCCTCTTTCCTGAGAAAGTAATGCAGAATCTTCTTGATGGGCTGACTGTGAAGACTGATGTGTGTAGGATGAAGGAACACATGGGTAATAGAAACCATCCTTGACTTCCTCTTCCTCTTAAAAGTGCCTCTAGAATAAAGGCACTCTTTTAAAATTTTCACGCTTGGGGCATCTGGCTGGGTCAGTCAGTGGAGCATCCAACGCTTGATCTTGGGGTCATGAGTTAGAGCCCCATGTTGAGCATAAAGTTTGTTTTTAAAAAAAGTAAAATTTTCATGCTCTATCCTTTTGATAAGGTATTAAACATCTTTCTTGATTAAAAGAGTACTAATGTTCATTATGAAAAGTGCAGGAAACAGAAAATATGTAAGCTAAGTACCTTACTATCCAATAATAAGCATTCTTTTGTAAAAAAAAATTAATGTTTATTTATTTATTTTGAGACAGAGAGCAAGTGGGGAGGGGAAGAGAGAGAATCCCAAGCAGGTTCCACACTATAAGTGCAGAGCCCAATGCAGGACTTGATCAATGCAGACCATGAGATCGTGATCTGAGCCAAGGTCATGATCTGAGCCAAAATCAAGAATCGGCTGCTTAACCTACTGAGCCACCCAGGTGCCCCCAATAATAAGCATTCTTAATGTTATTGTCAGGGTTTTGGTTAACAATGATTTTCCTTGCCTATGTGTTTCTGTTGTAGTCTTAGTGATCTTATTATTGATTTATAGTAGGAGAAGATATTAATGTTTGCCATATTTAGAGCTCTATTTCTTTAGCATGTCATTTGCCATATATCTACCTCAGATTCAGGCTGAAATTTATAAATCAATGAAATTTATCCCTGTATAATTGAGCTTATTTTAGACCCTTTAAGAGATGCACTGATTCTTATAAGAAGGCTGTCTTTATCAACAAACTGCTTTTTACTTTTTTGGTATCTTTTGTCTTAAAGACAATGTGAAGTTCTTGAGAAATGCCAAAATAGAGTCTGGGCATTGTTGCCTAAAAAGAAAGTTTTTTCCAGAAAATGACATTTGATAATTTACTCTCTAAATTTCTTTTACAAATTCAAATTTTGTGTAAGTGGAGAATAAAAATGAAGTTGTAATTTCCATTCTTCAACTACTGGACTTAAAAAATAAACTTGAAAACTAAATTAGAAAGACTGAAAAGCATCCTTCCACTTAAAGTTTTTCCTACTTATTTTATTTTATTAAAACAGCATATCTACACAAATACCAAGTGAAATTAAAAAGTTAAAGTCACTTAGGGGCACCTGGGTGGCTCAGTTGTTTAAGTGTCTGACTTCGGCTCAGGTAATGGTCTCACAGTTCGTGGGTTTGGGCCCCGCATCTGCCTCTGTGCTGACAACTCAGAGCTTGGAGCCTGCTTTGAATTCTGTAACTCCCTCTCCCTCTGCCCCTTCCCGGCTCGTGCTCTCATCTCTCTCAAAAATAAATAAATGTTAAAAAAAAATTTAAAAAAAGGTTAAAGTCACTTCAGCAGTAAATATTAAACTACTTCAACAGTAGATATTAAACTCACCATTATTGGCAAGACAGTTTACTTCTTGGAGTTAAACATGTCACTTTCCACTATATGTCACAACTTTTTATTCACCAGAACACTATTTATCACGTTACTGCTCCAGTGAATTGGGAGACCGAATGTTCTTCTAAAAGAATTTGATTAACACTTGCCACGTCTCCTCTCTGTTTTGAGACTTTCAGGCATATCAGGAAAAAAGAAGGAAGGTTTATTTTCCCCAAAGTATGCATTTACTTCTAGTTGTAGTCACAAGGGCATTTGTGGTATTGCTGTTTTGATGTAGAGCCAGACCCAGAAGTATAGTAGGATTGCCAAAGCTAAGAACCTTTGGGATCAATGTTTTACAGATATGTGTTTTTGTTTGTGTAGAAAATGTGGACTATTTGTTTATCACATGTAAATAAGTAAGCCAGCCACCATTAGGAAGGATTTTTAAAAGTGTAAAGAACAAAGATTGTGCACCTTGTTATCAAAATTAAATTACTAAGAGAGATTTCCTTGAAGCTTTCTGCTCAGAACATTCTCAGCTGTTTCAGGAAGCAATAGTCCTAGTATAGGAGCATCACATTTAAAGAATTTGCTCACCTACACCTAGTGTATTATGAAGAGCCATACAGTCTTGAATGAATTTGATCTCTCTCTATTTTAGTCACACAACAGCCAGCCTTTTCTGCTTATTTTCTTGGGTTGTTTACTCTTCTCCTTGACTGAAGTTTTTCTTGTCCTCTTTTATTTTAGAAGATAGAGTACGTCCGGTGGATTTCAGAAAACAAGAATGGCTTTTCCCAGAAACAACGGCCAATTTTGATAAATTGTTAATTCAGTATCGAGGATTTTGTGCTTATACATTTGCTACAACAGATGGTCTTCTTCTTCCAGGTATATTGTGGGAAATGATATTGCTTTGACTTCCCATTTTTTCTTTAAATAAAGCCATCCTTGTCACTTAACTTACTCATTTTTTTTTTCACTTATCATTTTTTAAAACTTTATGGGATCTGACGGTGAACTAGGAAAGGAGCCACAAAGATGATCCAGACCAAAATCTTCATCTTTGAAGTGCTCACAGAATAATCTGGTGGACTGACATAAGCAAGAATTACACACAAATGATAAGTGAGGTGCTCGCTTCGGCAGCATATATACTAAAATCGGAGCAATACAGAGAAGATCAGCATGGCCCCTGCGCAAGGATGACATGCAAATTCATGAAGCTTCCACATTTAGAAACGAAAACAAATAAGTGATAGAATGTGTATATAATGAAATCTGGATGCTACATTATCATAAAAGAGGGATGACTCATATGGCCAATGAGGGACTCCAGAAATTCACATGGCGTTACTAAAATAGATCATCTTCCAAAGTAATTAGTTGAAAGAGCAACACTAATTTGGCTGATTATGTTGATTAAAAAAATACTCTGTTGCTTTATGGTTGTGTTCTATTAACATAGATCAGGATTTCTGTATAAGTCAGATCCACCTAAGGAAATGGCCAATATTTTATCAAATAAAATCTCTCTGTGTATATTACTAGAGCTTCTCCTCTAACAAAGAGTAAGTCAGAAATTGAGGTGAAATAAATTATTATCCAAAAAGTGCTGTGTGAATTGGAAATAAAAAGTCAGGGCTAGAATGAAAACAGTTGGACAAAATTATTTCTGATTTACCTTACACCATTAACCTCTTTTTTCCTTTTCTTCTTTCTTTGTCATTTCTTTTGTTATATTTCGTAGTTGGATATTACTTTTTTTATTAGAAAGAATTATAGGAACTACATACAGGCTAGAGAACATGCATACTGACTTTTTTTTAAGTTTATTTTTGAGAGAGAGAAAGAGAGTGCATGTGAGGGGAGGGGCAGAGAGAGAAGGTGAGAGAGAGAATTCTAAACAGGCTCTTGTATTGTCAGCACAGAGCCCAATGCAGGGCTCGAACTCACGAGCTGTGAGATCATGACCTGAGCCAAAACCAAGAATTGGACTCTTCAACTGACTGAGCCACCAAGATGCCCCTGACTCATTTTTTATGGTATTAGATTTTTCATAATGGAAGTAAGAGGTTTACCATAGGGAGCTGAGAGAATAGTATTCTGAGGCCCCATGAGGGTCAGTGATACTGGTGGGGGTGGGGGGGCGGTAACAATCAAAAGCCGTGAAGAAATAAGAAGTGATGGAATATAGATGGTTTCTTTCTTTCCTTCTCTTCTCTTCTCTTTTCCTTTTCTTTCCCCTTCCTTCCTTCTTTCCTTCTTCCTTCCTTCTTCCCTTCCTTCCTTCCTTCCTTCCTTCCATCCATCCATGCATCCATCCATGCATCATCCATCCATCCATCCATCCATCCATCCATCCATCACAAATAAGAAAGGAAGGGAGTCACAAGAGACACAAACGCAAAGAACCATAGCTGTAGGGTGATGACAGAGGTAGCATGATATAATTGAAAAAGCTATGGGCTAAGGTTCAGGGGAGCCTGGCTTCTAGTATAGGAGGTCTGTTTGGCCTCTTCAAGCTTCCACTATCTGGGATTCTAATAAAGAGAGAGAAATAGGAAAGTAGAAGAGCTTGTGGGGCTATGGGTTTCAGAATCCTCTCTGAATAAGCTAGCCCTGACTACTTTGTTCACTACATTATTTCTGTTTGCTACATTATTTTCTGGGCAGCAGCAAACTGCACTAAGAGGAATTCTGTAGGACTTTTCTCCTTCCATTCAGGACTATAGACCACATGACTTAAATCCCAAGGCTTACTAACTAGTTAGGATCCTTTTCAATGACTACACCGGTTTTATTGCCAATCACTTTCCCTTGCCTACTCAAGCCTCACTGGCTTTCTTGTTGTTCTTGAACATCTCAAGCCCATTTTCACCTCAGAGCCTTTATGCTTGCTATTTATTCCCTCTACTTGGAAAACTCTGTCTATCCCCCAGATAGCTACATACCTTCCTCCTTCATTTTATTTAGCATTCCTAGATCACCCAATTTAAAATATCAACCACACCCTTCTTCCTTTTATTATGTGTTTAACAAGCTTATTTTTTTTTTTTTGAGGGGGGCGGGGAATGAATCTTAAGCAGGCTCCACACCCAGCGCAGAACCCAATGCGGGACTCAGATCTCATGACCTGAGATCGTGACTTGAGCTGAAATCAAGAATTGGACACTTAACTGGCCAGGTGCCCCTTGGCTTTATTTTTAACCTTTTTTTGCAGTACTCTCTGGCCTATGGTATATTTGTTGATTTGTTGAGAGCAGCAATTTTGTTTTTATTTCCTTAGTGCCAGGAATAGGGCCAATAAATTTTGTTGAACAAATGAAAAAATAAATAAGGCAGTACTATTGTTTCATATATAATTCCCACCAACTATGTGGATATTTAATAACCCTTATTTTTGTAGTATCTGTTCACAGTGGGAAATACTTTCTAACATAGAGACTTGTATTTTGGGGATGCCTGGTTGGCTTGGTTGGTGGAGCATGCAGCTCTTGATCTTGGGGTCATGAGTTTGAGCCCCATGTTGGGTGTAGAGATTACTTAAAAGTAAAAATCTTAAAAAAAAAAAAAAAAGGAAATGTATTTTGGGTAAGTTGTCCCATTTTTGTAGTTTTTATAGAATTATTTTTAAAACAATGCTTGTAGTAGTTAGTTTAGTTAAAGGAGATTTGAAACCACGAGATGACTACGTGCCTTCTCATAAAAGATTTTCAAACATTTTAGATCTGTATAGTAAAATAATTTTTATATAAAACCATTTGTTAAAATTAATTTAATATGAATTTCACATAAAATAGAATTTAACAAAATGTATAATTTAAAATTGCTAATTGTAGCATTTTAACAAAATGAAAACATGTTAAATATGCATAAGTCATATGTTAAATATGCAGTATGTAGGGGATGATTCTATGGATGTATTACAAACATAGAATCACTTACTATTTTATATCTCATTCATTTCCTTTTCTTAATTTTCAGGAAATCCAGCAATTGGAATTTTGAAATATAAAGAAAAGTATTACACTTTTAATACCAGAGATGCTGCATATTTATTTGCAGAAAGTCCTGAAAATTATATGGATTTAATTAAGGAAAAAGCAAAAAAAAATGCAGAATTAATTCAGCTACTGGAACTTCATCAACAGTTCGAAACCCTCATTCCATATTCTCAGGTAAGCAGAGTCAGTATTTTAAGAATTTATGACATTTAAAAGTATAGTTAATTAGAAAGTTATACCTTGTTGTAGAATAGTTCCAAAGTCCAAACAGAGACTGGATCAGAAGAGGGCCTTTAATGCTATTGGAAAGAGATTCACCCCGAAGAAGGAAACTAATGAAATCCACAAAGAATAATGAAAACAAGATAAGGAGTCAAATTGATAAATTAGACTGGAAAAATCTGGAAGAGAAAGACTACGTTTAGATAAATAACTGAGTCTGTAGGATTTCCTTATCTAAAATTAAAGAACTTAGCACAGATAACACAGGTGATAACTTAGAGTTGTAAGATAATACTTTCTGATATATTTTATTACCTGATAGGGCAAGCTCTTTCCTTTGCCTTGTATTTTTTCAAAATTGTCTTAGTCATGCATGGTAGTTTTCTTAATAAATTTGCTAAGTTTCCCCCAAAATCTTACTGAGATTTTAACTGGAATTGAATTAAAATAATAAAAGAATTTTTATGTTTATTATATTAGGTTGTCCCATTCATAATACCATTTTGTTTTTTTTAATAAGTACTAGTTTCATTAATTATATCTTAATAAAGCTTAATGGTATTAGTTCTATTTTCTACTGTGCCCACTTCTAAAACTGTATGTGATCCCAGCAGTGACTGGTGATGCTAATATTAATACATGGTTTTCCCACTCAGTATGACGACCCCTCCATTGAATTAACAATTCTCATATGGAATGGGTTTGTTTCTGGGCTTTTAATTGTGTTCCACTGGCTTGTGCTCTCCCAGTTTTGTATTTCATTCTGTTTTTTTTAAAGCTTATTTATTTATTTTGAGAAAGAGAGAGAGCGAGCACAGGCAGGGAAGGGGCAGAGAAAGAGGAAGAGGGAGAAAGAATCCCAAGCAGGCTCCACACTGCTAGCGCAGAACCCCATATATGGGGTTTGAACCCATGAACTTAATATGGGAGGTGTATTTTGGGAGGGGAAAACCTAACATCACTCATTCCTAAGTCAAATGCCCCTCTCCAATTTTCACAATTGGTAGCCTATGTGAATACTTTGACCTGAGCCAAAACCAGGAGTTAGATGCTCAACCGACTGAGCCACCCAGGCACCCCTCTGTTTTTCATTCTTTTTGTGATGTCTTCTCATGAATGAAAGTTTTTCATTTTAATATGTCATTTATTAATCTTTTCTTCACGTCTCAAATTTTGTCTTGTTTAAGAAATTTTCATGTATCTTAGATCATAAAAATATTCTCCTATATTGTTTTGTAAAAAAATACGGATTTTGGATTTGCCTTTCACACCTGACTCTTTAATTGACTTGGATTTGATTTTTGTGTCTATTGGGAGGTGAAGATCCAATTTTAATTTTTTTTCTATTTGAGTAATGAATTTTCCCAGACCATTTGTTCAGTACTCTTTCCTTTCTCCATATCTATAGTGTCTTATATGCACAGGCTTAATTTTTAATCTCTCTATTCTATTCAGTTCAATTTTTAAAAAATTCCTGTATCTATATCTTACTATAGCTTTATAGTAAGTTTTGATACCTAGTAGAGTAAGTTCTCCCACCCTTTCCTCTCTAAAGGATCTTGGCTATACTTGAGTCTTTACTTTCCATATAAATTTGAGAATTTATATTGTCAGGTTCCATAAAAAACCTTGAAGGAATTATGAATTTGCATGTCTATAGACAAGAATTATTTGACCATACCACCACTTATTTATAATTTACAGAGTTGTAAGATACTTCAAAGACAGTGAAAGGTTAGAATCAGATCATCAGAAATGTATGCTATATGTAGATAATGCATAGTTTTCCATTAAACAATTTTCCCCTATATTTTGGGTCTTGTTTTTTCCTTTCTTTCTGTGTATTTAATTCCCAGCTCTTCTTCAGTGACCTTAAGTACCTATGGAAGTGAGTTTTCTCCCTTCATATTTCAAAGCTATAGTTCTTATAATTATTTACTTGCCATTTACTTGTACTGTGTAATATTGCTAATCATCTTGCAACATGTTTTTATCTACCCAACTATATCACATCATCGTTCTGAAGGCAAAAAAAATTATATCTTATGTTAGGTCGTAGGCAATCAGTAATTATCTGCTGTTTGATTTGAGTAAGAAGTTAATCTTACATGGCATATATATATATATATATATATATGTGTGTGTGTGTGTGTATGTATATGTACATATGTACATATGTATATGTAATCTTACATGGCATATATATGTGTGTATGCATATGTATATACATATATATACACACACATATACACATATATGTGTATATATATATACACATATACATATATATACACATACATATAATGGAATATTACTCAGGCATAACAAAGAATGAAACCTTGCCATTTGTAACAACATGGATGGATCAGGAGGATGTAATGCCAAGTGAAATAAGACAGTCAGAGAAAGACAAATACCATATGATTTCATTCGTATGTGGAGTTTAAGAAACAAAAGCAAATGGGCAAAGAGATAAAGAGACAAAAAAACCAGACTGTTAAATACAGAGAACAAACTTGTGGTTGTTAGAGGAGAGGTAGGTGAGGAGATGGGTGAAATAGGTGAAGGGAATTAAGAGTCCACTTATCGTGATGAGTACAGAGTAATGTACAGAATTGTTGAATCACTATATTATACACCTGAAACTAATATAACACTGTGTTAGTTACATTGGAATTAAAAAAAAGTTAATCTGTCCCTCCTGTGCACTATGATCTGAGTTCCTTAAACCCCTACCACCCTCTCCAGCAACTTCATATATAGCACAATCATATCTTATTTAGCCTGGAATTAATATTTAATATTTTAATAGTGAGCTTGTGGGTATCCCAGCAGAAAATCAAAATATCCAACTAAAACAAAATCAAGTGTATGCATAGTTTGGGGTTTAGATATATCCTAAAGATGTTTTGATACTTTAAACAAATGTGATTCATATTTAACATTTAATGGCTATTTTAAACTTCAGTCAGTTTTCTTTTTTTTTTTTAAATTTTTTTTTCAACGTTTTTTATTTATTTTTGGGACAGAGAGAGACAGAGCATGAACGGGCGAGGGGCAGAGAGAGAGGGAGACACAGAATCGGAAACAGGCTCCAGGCTCTGAGCCATCAGCCCAGAGCCCGACGCGGGGCTCGAACTCACGGACCGCGAGATCGTGACCTGGCTGAAGTCGGACGCTCAACCGACTGCGCCACCCAGGCGCCCCTTCAGTCAGTTTTCAACAAAGTATTCATGTATGCTACCGATTGTGAAAATTGGAGAGGGGCATTTGACTTGAATGAATGTTAGGTTTTCCCCTCCCAAAATATACCTCCCATATTAAGTTCACAAAGTCAGGTACAAAGAAAGCCATAATGCCCAGGAAAATTATCACATTTAGTTCACTACTATTAGCTTATTTTCTCTGCTGTCTTTATGAGTATATTCCATGTTGAAAAATTCTTATTTTTCTAATCTTTTTGTCAGTTTATTTTTAGTTATCTCTAAATAATGCTGCTTTTTAATAAATACTAATTACAGAACTTCATTTCTTTAGATGAAAGATGTTGACAAACATCATATAAAACCAATTACAAAGTGTGAAAGTAGCACACAAACAGATACGCACATATTGCCACCAACGATTGTGAGATCATATGAGTGGAATGAATGGGAATTGAGAAGAAAAGCTATAAAATTGGTTTGTAACAATATTTTCTAAAATTATTTATAGGTTGGGGAATTTGTTTTTCTTCAGCTAAGACAGCAGAAGAGATGACATTTTGTACATGTGTTACATTCAGCCACAAATTAAAGCAGAATTAGTCCCAAAAGTTACAGGTCCAGGGCACAGGACCAAAAGGGATTGTTTTGGTACGAGCAGGGTGGGTCTCTCAAGGGTAGTTGTTGTGATAAGATGGCAATGTTCTAGATTCATTGAATCAATTTCTAGAAAATAGGCATGCTGTCCAACAATTTCTACCAGCGTCCCTGGCCTCTAGCTTTCCTTGTTTCTGCTCCTGTGGCTTCCATGGATGTATACACTGGCCATTTACTTGGAACTCTGCCTCATCTTTCTTCTTTCTCGCTTCAGCCTGTGTATTTGCTTCTCCCTCCACTTGGCTCTCATGGTGTGGGAGTTTCCAGGAAGATGGTGCTAAAGCTGAGAGCTATAGGTTAGGGAACTCTAATGTGTTGTTAGTCATAGAGTGGGTAATTTAAATTACTTATATAAACTAGTGGGATGTATACAGAGTTCTTTGCATATAATTTGCCAGCTTTACATTGTAAGATTGTCTTCTAATTTTAAGCACATACGGAAGCATGAAACTATTCTCAGATTATACCATGCAGTGACTAGAACAATGGTAGTTGCTCTCTCTTTCTTTCTATATCCATCTATTGTGCTAATCTATGAGATTTAGAGCACTTTCAGCTTCCTCTAATCATTTAAAGTATATCTTTGTCTTTTGTAGTCTTTTTTTTTTTTTTTTTTTGAGGAGCAGAATATTAACTTCTCTTGTGTCCTCTCTTACGTCAGCATGTTCTCTACAGGCACTGAGCTCTCTTGTCCTTCTAATTCTCAGTCACCTTAATCATAAGAGGTGCCTGCCCTCAAAGCTTGGCTTTGAAAATCTCATCCCTGTGTGACTCAGTGGAATTCTTCCCTCTCACCCTTTTTACAGTACCTTGTCATTTTAGACAATAAGTATTTAGAGTACAAAGGAAATAAACTTTTATATCTATAGCCTTTTCTTAGTATATTTTATCCATCTCTTTAACTGAAATCAGGTATGGGAGTAAATGAAGACTACCCAAATAAGAACAGAGGCTATTTATTCAAAGTTTTCTATAGCAAGGGAGTCAATCATCATCACTGGCCATTGGCAGAAACTCCAAAGCAGGCAGGGAAAGTGGGAAACCCTTATAGTGAAAAAAAGGGGAAGGCTTCAAGCATGCTCTGACTGGAGATTGTTGACATGGGGAAAATGGAAGCAGGCTAACTCAAAGTTGGGGCTCTTATGTGAATGGTTTGGTGGGCATAGTTGGCTTTCTCTGGTTGGTCCTTAGTTGGAAGGTGGGGGCATGGGTAGCAAAAAAATAGGGAAGCTGGCCAAGTCCTGTCTGTTCCGGGCTTATACCTACAGCTATAGAGGTTGTGGATCTGAGTTCTATTGTCATATAAGGTCTAGCTTTTGGCAGTTTGTATATTCAGTGTCTCATAGGCTTTTAACCAATCATGGCATTTCTCTTGCCACCCTTTGTGGTGGCAGCTTTTCAGTCCCTTAATTTCCTGGGATGAGGAAGGATCAGCTTCCTGGTATGTCTTCCAGATCCTCGTTCCATTAGCATTCCTATGAGTTACTCTTCTGTAGTACATGAAGCTCCATCCCCAATGTTCTTTTGTGTTATCTACTAAACTCACTTGAGCCCATCAGATATATATGGGTAACACAGATATTACACATTTGTTCTTCAGAAACTAATTGTCTAGCAAGTGACACTGATACACTAAAAATATCTCAATACCTGTTGGTAAGTGGTAGAATAGAAGTGAAATAAAAAATGAATCCTGGTGACATTTTAAGTTGGTCTGAGGTATAAATAGGCAAAGGAGAAGAGGGGAATGATGGTTGGATGGATATGAGAGGTAGAGGTACCAGCATAGGTCTGGATTGGAAATGTTAAAAGAATGGCGTATTCCGTGGGGCTGCACTACATACCGACTGAACTCTTCTTCTCATTCTTCAACCTCCACTTAATTCTGAGGCTCACCTTAGACCTAATTCTCCTCTGGAATCACATCACGTCAAATGCTGGCTCCCCATATATGACCAGTACAATGTGCTGGTAAGACAAAACTGAGTGTATTGCTTAAAGCTATAGGAGGAATCAGCACCTCAGCAGAGCCTAGGCAGTGTCTTGAGGGGGAAGAGCAAGGTCAGAATGTATTGAGAATGTGAAGTTTGATGGAAGGTAGGTCTTTCAAAGCCAAGAGTAGGTCAGGGGATGGGAGGAGGGCTTGAATTAGATTAGGTAAAGATCATGAAAAAGCAGCCCAGCACTGATGGGAATAGAAAGTGAAGATTTATGGGGTAGGGTGCAGAGAATGTTAGAATCTGTGTGTTGGTACTTACTACTGAAGGTGTGTCTTTTGGGATGTTCTGTAGTGAACAATCAAGTTATTTGCTTTGGTAAGAGTCTCTTGGAATGATCAAATTATGCTAATGAAGATGTCCAAATAGAAAACTCACACTAATGTAGACAATAAACTCAGTGTGGAGGAAGTAGTTTTGGTTCTCAGTCATCCACAGTGTCTCAAAATCTGGAATATTTCCTCTCCTTCCAAGTCTCTACATTTTTATTTTATTTTATTTTATTTTATTTTATTTTATTT